ACTGTAAACAATAGCATTCTCAATCACCCGTCTGGCTCTGGAGTGACGGTAATTGTAAGTCTGCTTACCCATGGGCAGGTTCATCCCTCTGTAGCAGAACAAAACAGAATTAATTGTCGGCCAATGCAGCTGTGATCAGGAATAAATACATATACGCATATACACAAAGTATTATTACATAAAATAAATTAAGTCTGAGACAGACCTGGAAAGGGACACATGAGGTTGTTGTGTTGGGAGAATGCAGCATTACCAACTATCACATGTGGCATTTTGACTCCTGTTCCAGGAAGATTGGCTGGTGGGGGCAGGTTCAGTTTGTATTTAAGAAGCCTAGAACCAAATGGGCTCTCCTTGAAGACACCACCATAATTTTCCCGTCCGTATCCCCCCACATCCACCATGGTGAAGCGATACCTGGTGTCACAAATAGCCACCAGAACAATGGAGTGTGCGCCCTTGTAGTTGTAGTAGTCGCTCCCGGCGTGCGGTGGTGCTTTTATGTTGACATGCTTTCCGTCGACGCTGCCAACACAGTTCGGAAGGTTCCACAGTCTCCAAAAATCAGCAGCAATATTTTCCCATTGGGCGACTGAAGTACAGGGAAGAAACTCTGGCTGCAATGCTTTCCACAAAGATTTACACACCTCGGACACTATGGAAGACGCTGTGCTTGACGAAAGTTTGTATCTAGCTGCTACAGCCTGTTGGCTTCCACCTGAAGCTAAAATACGAAGGTTGACTGCCAGCCTCTGCGTAATGTCTACAGGCATGATGTACGATCAATGGCTGCTCACGACAAACCAAATCATCGAATCTACCGGCCGACATTCGGAAATATCTGAAGTGCATTTCCTCGTTCTCGTCGCACGTACCATCTCCTCTGACGTCTTCTCTCATTTCTGCCTTTAGTTTTAGTAATTTCGATAAAATTAACTGTTTTTCCACCTTGATAAGCTCAACTCCAACATGATCTGCTCTCTTCACCATTGCTTGTAGTAACCTTTCCAACTCTTCAGTCATTTGTTCAAGTCAAGTTTCCTTTGATGTTTCAACATCAAGTTTTCACATTTTCAACGCTTGTTGAACATCCAAATAACAAAAAACTAAAATACAGCTGTACAATCCTAATTAATCCTATAACTCACATGCTTAATCCTGAGGAGATAAGACATAATAACGTATAGCCAATTACTCACTCAAAACCATCACAGAAAACGAAAACCACGAAATCGGCAGCTAAGCACTTGTATTTCAAGGTAAATTTAGGAATATTTATAAATAAAAGAAACATTTAGATTGATCGTTGCATATCTGGCGATGTTTAGAGCATCACACCATTAAACTACTCATATTTAATATTCATTCTAACCTTTTTTTAGTTTGTTTGGGTTACCAGCAATGTGAATTCAGTCCTGTCACTTCCCGATCTTTGCAACCGCCAAATCCAATTGTTTAGTCTTTTAAATATATTTTTTCTTAAAAAGTATCTCGAAAAGGCACACATCTAAAAAGCTTTGTCAAAATTACTCAAGATTATACACACACTATTTAATTGTATAAAAAAACACGTTCACAACAAAATATTAAGTTACTTAAAATATTTAAGTAAAGTATCAAACATAGATTTATTTGTTGAAAATTACGATTTTTGTGTTACAATTACAACTCCACAAAGTCATTTTTCCCAGCGTGGGGGTGAGGACTAAACTATCAACGCCCACTCTTCACTGTTAGAATGTTAGCCAGTAAAACACTCAACTTTAAGTGATTGAAAACCATAAGTGCAAAGTTACAATTCCACATAATAGCCTAAAGAAAATAATATACAAAGTTTAACACACAGCACAAAGAAAAAGAAAGATGGCTATGCAGCATGATTATAGTAATGTCAAGGTTTAGCATCAGGTTCAGGGTCAGAAAAAGGATCTGCTTATAATATTCATCTGTATTCTATAGGCAGTGCCCAGAAGTATGATGGGCTTAAGATGACCTTTTATTACTCTTGTTACATAACAGGATGCAGTTAGAACAATGATTCTACTTTTTTCCTTTTTCTCTCTCACATGTACAACTAAAAAACAATCTTTATTATTGAGGGCAGGGGGCTGAGGAACGTGTGCCCGCTATGGCTGAGATTAGCAGCGAGCGCTGGAGCGCAGGACATCTGCATGAGAATAACAATCCCACGACTGATAATCCAGTCAGGTCACAGCTTACCACCAACATCAGAGAGAAATAATGAATCCATAGCGATGACCTCACACACACTGACTGTATAACGGCTGTGCTGATGGAATCTTGATCTATTTTTACATGTAAATATGTAGGGTGCAAACGGGCCAAAGACACTAATCTAAATTCAAACTAAACTAAACTCTTACCTGGGTAGCACTAACCACTGAAACCGGCTTCACAGAACTGTTTTTTTGTGTGTGTGTGTGTGTGTGTGTGTCCAAGAAGATGGACTGGTTTTTAGCGGTGTTCAAAGGTAACCTATGACTATCCTGCCTTGGAGCAGATTGTATTCTGGGTATAAAGATTGCAAACACACAGACACAATTGTCCACCTGAGAATGTGGAATGAGAATGTGAGTTATGAAAAGAGATGAGTGAATTAATGAGATGTGGTTTGTTGGTGACTTGAAGAAGAAGGGACCAAAGCTGATCACAGTTGCAGGGATGGTATCTGGGATGAGAAATGCTTGGAATGAACTCCATGTTGGAGCAGTGCAATTTGGTTTCAGGTCCTCCAATAGTTTGTTGGTCACTTGGGGAAGAAGGGACCAACTGCTTTCCCAAAGTGTTTCGGTGTTGGGATCTTGGCAACTGCTTGGCAGACATCCTGGGCAAGGGGTTAGAACTTGTTCTTGCTGCTTAGGACTGACTTTCACCTAGCTGTTCCCTAACTCTGGAGATGCATCTGTTATCATCCATGCCAGGTGGTTATAAAGGTTAGAGCTCAATCTTTGGGATGTCTCCAGGTATTTTATCTCTAGCTGCACTCAGTGACAGGTCTTCAGTCATACTTCAAGGCATCTGGTGACATCTTCTGGCTTGAGCTGGCTTCTCTTGCTTCCGTCAGGGCTTGGTTCAGTTGGTCCTGGAGCTCCTTCCATATTCTCTTTGCAGTTTTGTTGGAAGAGACTATGGTGAACACTGAGATGTGGGCACTTTTTCTACACTTAAAACACCAACAGTGTGAGCCGGATAACCAGACATCATCCTCTTTTTGAGATTTCTCTGGGTCGCCTGGGCGGCTGCCCTGTCATCGCCCAGGCAGCTGGTCACGTTGGCGACTTTGGCGCTCCAGGTGATGCTTCTCAGGTCCATGACGGCAGCTGGATCTGGGCCTTTCTCATCCCACTCACGGAAGAGATCGGCTTGGAGGATCTGTAGGATGACAAAGGCACCCGTGGTCCTGCAGACTTTTGACGGGAGGGTAGACATTGAGCGCCATCTTGTGGAGGGTGGACAAAGGTGCACTACAACCGCTTCCTCCAAAGGGGAATAGAGGTGTATAACTTCTCGGCGGCGCCGTCCACTTGGGAGAGTGACGCGGAGACGTGAGATTGGAGCCTTGCGGAAAATGGTGCATTCTACGATTTAAATAGCTCCGTGTGGAGTTCTGGCAGAAAGGGCGCAGACCTGGATGTGGGCGTTTGTCGGTGGCGATGAGGAAAGCAGCCTCGATTCCTGGATTGAGGAGGAGGCGGAGTGATGGAACCCGACCACTCCTCACTGTCAAATGCCAGAATAGAGCAACAATCTCCTGTGACGTTTCCTTCCGCCTCATCACCTGAAGCGACGGCAGTGTGAGCCGAAGCCGGCAGCTGCGCGTCCGTGAGGGGGGGCGGAGAAGGCAAGGGCGAAACTCGAGGGAGGGACTCAGGCGAGCGTTTCGCGGTGGCCACAGGCTCCGGTGGTCTTTGAGATAGGCGCTCCTTCTTGCGCAGTCCAACAAAGGGCCGGAGTGACAGCTTCAGCGTGAAAAACTTTAAGTCAAGCCCGCAGGGTCGATATCGGAAGTTCCTCACAATGCGTGCAGCCTCCCGACGAGAGAGCGAGGGCTGCGTGTTCCTGGCCCAGGCAGAGAGCGCAGGTCACATGGCAGTCTCCGGTGCTGAGTGGGGCTCGGTACGAGCCACAGGAAGTGCGAGACATTTTGATAAAAACGTTTTGCTTGCTCTTTTAGAAGAGTGCCGCAGCGGCGAACACGTACAGAATAGAGCTCATTCTGTACGTGTAAAGGATACACATTGCCGGATAGCATAGCTCGCACAGATGGCTGAAGGTGGCGAAGACAACCGGCTTCCTCAGGCACTGTCCTAAGCTGGCTTTGTTGCTCTTTCGGCTTCTCTCAGAATCCAGTGATGCGAAGAGCTTCGCTGAAGAAATCAGGGAGACAGCCTCTGAGCCCCGCTTATATACTCTAAGCCACGCCCATTCTGGCGGGCTTAGATGCCGGGCTCAGTGGTAGGCTAACTGCAGTTGCCGCAGGGCAGTCAATGAGCACGCTAGACAGCCTGCTCTAGGTCTGCTAGCTGCTGCACTACGTTGACAATAAATACCAAATTATAGATGATTTTTGGCTTCATATCTCGAAAAAAGATTACTTTACCTAAGCAAACTTACACAATGCGAGAGAACCTTCTAAGAGAACCTTCAGTTTGGACTGTTCCTGCCTCAAACCAAACTTGTACTGTCTCCTATTAATAAATGTCACTGCCCTGCTCATTCTGCGCCTGGCTCTGCCCAATCTGAATCCTGACAATTATTTTCATCTAAATAAACCTTTTCCACAAAAATAACCTTTTGTGTAATAAAAAGTCCAACCAAATCACATGTTGTATTTCTTATGTGTCGTGTACATTTAGAGATAGACTTTGTTGACATTTGTCAACCTACAGCTCGATGGGATTTTCTCATGGTTCTGATCATGATTGACAGCTTATGGGTGCATGTGATGTTTATAAGCACTGGTGTGTCTTCCCTTTCAGATGCAGTCGCTACAATCCCATAATGCCCTGCTCAGCATGCTGAGATTGGACGATGCCCGCTGGAATGTTCTAAATGAGTGCGGATTATGTGCATGTCTCTCTCAAATTGCAAGTAAAGCCGCAGCTCGAACGCTTTGTATCTCTGCCGCTTAGCAGGGCACAGGAATGAGCGCTGCAGTGGTGCACAGAGGATTCCTCAAGAAATATGGTAAAGTTTACACTTTTTGATTTCCCTCTTCTTTTAAATCCCTGCATTCCACCTGTGCCAGCTGAGATTATCATTTATTATTTGGTTCACGAATGTTTTAGTCACTTTTTGTGCCAATGATTATTATATAGGCCTATATAAATCCATATAGTGAAAACTATTAGACTAATGTCAGTGATTTGTTTGTGTCTATGTAGTAAATTTAAAATGTATGTTGTTGCACAGACATTTGGATGGATCATATAACTCCTTTTTAAAGGTTCTTGAATAGTTTATGACCTGCAATTGATGCAAAGTGAAAGGAAGTGTCCTGTCGAAGATCACGATACATTGATTGGAGATTAAGAGTTTTATGTTAGTGTTTCACACTGCCAACATTCAGTCCAGAACAAAGGACTACATTTAACATAAAATATCCACCAATGACATATCTCACAGCTTTAGTAAAAAACAACATAGAATAACCAAAAAAAAAAGAGGCAATGGCGTGAAAATCTCTTTTACCGATCATTATACTGTAACGTTAATCTACCTGATGTTTAAATAAATCTATAATCTGTCGGTGAGCTATTTGTTTGTGCTCTTCATCTATGGATTTCAGGCTTTCACAGCATAAAGTGTGTCAGCTCCACCTGTCCACATTGCTTCCACCCCTGTATGTCTGTATTTAGGTCAAATTATGATATGAGGATGACCTAGTCTACAAAAAATATTTTACTTACATTCAATTTTAACATATTTAGATGCAAGTTTAGCATGTGTACAATGAATGCATCAGTGTGTCCTAACAATGCTTTTCTAATGCAGTTCTAAAAGGGAAAAAAGTGTCATTGTTCCATGTTGATTCATAAAGTTCATTAGGAATGAATTCAATTTGGCTATAAAGCAGCTCTGCAGAAAACAGTGATGTCATGTCAGTTCAGTTATCATCAAATATTGTCAGTGTAATCAGATCAGTAGTATTGTTGAATTAATATTGCTCAATAATTGACGTATCCCAAGCCAGAGGCGCCAATGGCAAGGAACCCAAACTCCATGACAGAATGGAGAAAAAAGAAACCAGTGAGAAACCAGAATCAGTCGCTCAGTTCTCGTCTGGTCAACGAACGAATACGGTGCCATAATAATTCAGACTACATCATGTCAGGAGTCAGATTGAGGATGGGTATCATTCAAAATATTGCATCCAGTTCCTTCTGCTTGAAGATGGGATTGATCATGCCAGTATAGAGATGAAGCTGGCAATCGTGGTCAGTGCAGAGGGCTTGTCTGGTTCTTGTGGTCTTTGTTGAGGATCTGTGGCGATGGCTGTCGTGTCGGCAAAGCCTTCACAGAGTTTAACTGAAGGGCTGTTGGGGTTGTGCAGGTCTGATCTGGATATGGACTAGATCCAGCTGACTACAGTAACCTCAAGATAAGGATGAGATAGACATACTAATCTTAACATGGTTACCATTGTTCGTATGATATAATCAAATGATATAATGATTAGATCTGCTGCATGTTGATTTTGATCATCTAAGTATTATCAACTGGCCAGAATTTGGAGATCGCAATAGACATGAAGGCCTATAATGAGTTAAGAGCTCGCTCAAGTTCTGGGGAGCTAAACCATTTAGTGCTTTGAAATTAGCAAGATTTTAAAATGCATATGAACCAAAGCACTGTTGACAGAACCGGGCTAATATGGTCATAATTCCTGGTTCTAGAAATAACTAGCTATTGCATTTTGGATCTGCTAGTTATTAAAAGAGGCCATCTTTATCCACTACTGGGCCTACATAACAATAACAATGGCAACATGCCACTCTCGTCCTTCTAATTTTATCTTTTGACTTCAAAATAAAAACTAAAATGTATACTCCAATCTAACAACATGAATTGGTCCACAAATCACAAACAAATATATAACGAATATATACACACAATTTCAATTTTTTTTATATTCAACAAAATGTAATGTCAAAAATGATTATGTTCAATATTTTTCTGGAATTAGTTGTTACTTGTTTAATTTTCCCAAATGTTGATAATCAGATGAAATTACACAGTAAAGAAGAGTGAATCCATTTTTTAAATGTGTTGAGATGTGATTTCATGCCATCTTGTCAGGAGAAAAAACTAATATGTGGACTTCTGTTTAACCCTGTTATATTTCCTCTTTTAAAAAATTGTAGCATGTTTGTAACATCATATATCATCCACTGCCTCAGTACCATAGTTTAGGTATTTGAAAAAAAGTAGATGTACCTGAACGAGGACACAAATATTGACTGGTCCAATTATATTTGTTGGATAATCTTCATCCCTGTATCATTAAATGGCAAAACACGTTGAATGTACTACCAGCCTGGGCTCTCAGATACTCTCTATGATCTTCTGATACTACCAGAATTTACTATTATCAATTAAATATGTGTGAATAGTAAAAACATACCGTGACTGGGGTTGAAATAATGGAGTGTTTTAAGGTTATGCTTTAGTTATGTGTGATTTGATTTAAGGAGCTCTACGAACCTGCTAATCTCAGCCTGAACAATACAATTGTGTGTGATGATTTATAGAAACTGTAATTTCTATAAGTAACCTTTTAAAAAATAACAATAAATTCAATTTTCTTGAAACTTCACTGTTTTTCTAAGAATGGGGCAAAAACTGTGCAATTTCACATATTCAAGTCTCTGTTTTTCTCTAAGGGGGCTTCATGTTCAAGCAATGGAAAGAAAAGTATCTGGTGTTGACGGTGGAAGGAAACCTGATGGTGTGTCGAGATGCAGACTCACCAGCTGACCAGGTGGTGGCGCTCCAGGGTAACTGTGAGTCCATAGTGGAGGGTAAAGACATCTTGGACTTGCCCCGTTTACCCCCTGGAGGACGCAGAGACAGCTGCTTTGCCCTCATCCTGCCCCAAGACAAGTTCCTCCTCCTGCTCTCTGATAGCCCTGAAGAGTGCAGGTGGGCCAACAGCCTGGTTCCTGTAAACCTTCTTGAATGATTATCCTTTGTATAAGTATACATTTGCGCTCAAAACATGCACTTTTAACATTTTTAACAAATGTGAGTTAGTGTGATACTAAACTTTTTGTCTCCAACAGTCAATGGCTGAAGTTACTTAGAAAGGTGAAGGAGGTGAGTTATTACATTTCATGAAATACATTTAATAGTTATTACATTTCACCAAATACACTGTGTCAGAAAGAGTCAGAAAGTCTGAGACCACACTGAAAAATCTTGTATACCTGAAATAAACAGGTTTTAGATTATACCGACATTTTACTGTCATTTTGGGTGAATAAATATGTTACCCAAATTGTTATGCTAATATAAAAGATTGCAAATAGAAGCATTTTCACTAGTTGTCTCATTGTTAAACAATTAATACACTGCAATTAAAAAAATACATGACAAGTAAATACATTTATAATGTTACAAAATATATTTCTATTCCAAATAAATGATGTTATTTAAACTTTCTATTCCTCAAACAATCCTGAAAAAAATACATCACCGTTTCTACAAAAATATGAACATAAAGCAGCGCAACAGTTTTCAAAATTGATAATAATCAGAATTGTTTCTTGAGCACTGGTGTAATAATGCTAAAATCATCACAGGAATAAATTGCATATTAAAATAAATTCAAATAGAAATCAACTATTTTAAATGATCCCGTAATAATATTTCACAATATGTTTTTGCTGTGTTTTTGATCAATTAAAAGCAGCCTTGCCTTGGTGAATATGAGACACCCCCCCACCAAAACACTAAAAAAATCTTACCAACCACAAACTTTGCAATAGTACTGTAAAAGTTGTTGAAAGGAATCTGTTCTCCCTGGGATTAAGACAAATATTTTTGGTATTTATTTAAACAAAATATATCATTTAATTTTTTAATTTAATATAAAATTAATTTTGTGAAAAGATAACACAGCTTCTAGCATTATTTTTTGGTATTTGAACAATGAAATGGATCTTATTACATATATACACGTTTAAAGTATTTGGTAATTCCATTTTGCTGTCATTTGGCACGACTGTACATGACTATACAAGTCTATTTTATGTCTCTATGAGACTATGTATGATTATTGCTTCTTTGCAAAACAGCAGGATTATTCTGGATGCATGTTACATAATACGTCATGTGTCTGTGCCTTCACCAGACCCTATATCAATGATAAGTGTTGTAATCTCTCATGAGAGACAACTGAATACTTTTCCATCTTTAATCTTTGGATTAGAAAGATGTTTTCGTGACAACTCAGCATACAGTATATTAAACGCATTCTCATCCTTGGGTGTCATACAGTGATGCTTTTGACATTTCGTCTAAATCCAACGCACATGGCACCCTTTAGCGTCAACATAACACGCACAGAGCTTTGTTCAGTTATGGGTAGGTTTAGGTCTGGGGTAGGGTTAGGGTTAGACCACTAGGAGGCGCCTTCTGGCCCATATCTCATATTGACGCTAAAGGATACCATGTGCGTTAGATGTAGACAAAATGTCAAAAGCGTCAGTATATGACACCTTTGGATTTCAATGGCATCCTCTGTTTGCTCAGGGTGTGACTTCACCACTGGTCCTGCAGAGACAGCAGAGCATCACGCCCTGCATCACAGACCGGGAGCCGCTTCCAGACATCTCCACTGATAAAGAGCCCACATCCCCGCACCTCAGCGACAAGGGCTTGAGCTCCCCGCGTGTCCGCTCCAGAGAGAACTCCTTCAGACACAGAGGTGCGGCTCACTGTTACTACCCATTAAGTAAAATATGCAGTGACAAAACCATGGTGCTTTGGATGTGGTGCAATGGTAATATCATGCTTTATACAAGCCATTCATACCAAGCGTGCCGCACAAGCCCTCAAAAGTGAAGCCAAAACGTCTCGATCGCCCCCCTGTGACCGGACCTAGTATAGCTCATAACCCCCGCCTCCCCATGTTATTCAATGGGACGCGAGACCAACTAAACAATTAAATTACACTTCACATATCCTTTTTCCAAAGATAGTTTCTGTCATTTACTGTAGTTTCTATCACGTTGATGTAATTTCAAGTGTTCGTTTTTAAAATAAGTTTGTTTTTAGTTAGTTATGTGATGATAATAACGGCGCTCTGACATCATGATTGACAGCTGTGATTGACAGGTTCTCTGTTCGAGGTAGTCACTGAAGCACCAGCGGACTTTTTATAATGTTGATTATGTGGTTAGTAGTTGTATTTACCTTGTTTTAATGAGGTTCTGCAATCAGCGGACATCATTGGAGAAGAACGAAGCAGACAGAGGACACTTAATGAAAGTGCGGGGCGTGTGCTTGCGTTTGATTCAGCGAGAATGAGGGCGCGGCCTTGATTTCGCGGCTTTACTTCCTGCTCACGACTGCGCATGACTGGTCCCGAAACACGCAAGAGCGCAGACTCAAGTCCAAGATGTCAGCGTCATATCGAGACACTGGCGGCTTCAGTTCTCTCTGATGGAAAAGAGCGAAGGGGCGTCGTCCATCTTTTTTTACAGTCTATGATTCATACAAATATTCATTGCATTGCTGCTGTTCATAATATTAATTGCATTCGATCTGATTCAACAGAGGAATAAAAGGTAAGCATTATGTGAATGCTTTAAAAAGGAATGTCTTTAATCTATTTTTATCAGGAAGGCTATTCCAGAGTTTAGAAGCTAAATGCGAGAACGCCCTCCCTCCTTTAGTGGACTTAGATATCCTAGGAATGTAGCTTGGATGCCAGCCCGAACTCCGCCCACAACATTTTTTGGTCGGGAAGTTCGGTCTGGACTCGATTCATTGAGGAGTAATTATGATCAGACAAAAAATGTTCGCGCCAATCAAATTGCCAGGGCGGGCTTTATACGATGATGGACAGACGATCTGCAGGGATGTAATCATCACGTTATCAAAGTGCGCTTGTCAGAGATGACTGCAGCTGGAGAATTGAGATGTATAGATTACGCTGTCGCGTCTGTTTTTAAAATGAATCGGCAGCGCATTCATTTTAATAGACAAACAGAGTCTGCAATCAAGGCATTTGTCAATCGGAAAGATATCTTTGCCGTCCTTCCTACATGATTGGCAAAAGTGTAACTTATCAGCTGACTCCGATGGTCGTTAACAGTGTTGTGCAAGTTACTTCCAAACTGTAATACATTAGGTATTACTTGTTACTGTTATTTAAAAGTAATTCATTACCTTACAATATTACTGTCCCAGAATTGTAATGCGTTACATTACTCATGTATTACTTTTGAGTTACTTTCACCAAAATAACTAAGTAGAACTTAACTTTTGGGCTGTAACGATATGCAATATGAAACCGAAATCGCGATTCGCCACATCCACGAACCTACAGAATCGCGACACACCTCTTCCAACTCCAGCGTTATTCTCCTTACCGTCCAGATCCAATGCTGCCTTATCTTTAAATTAGGCTATTAGTATTATTTGAAGTTAACATTATCAAATACGTAGACCTACACCACAAAACTATTTGAGGATAAATTATTTAAAATTGGGGAAGTCCAGCATTATGGACATGACATTTGCAGTCAAAACTTGAAATAAAAATTCTCAGAAAATACATGTATTGAAACGTATATAGGCTACTTCCTTAAAGGACTCCAGACATTAGACAAATATCAGTCTATGTTTTATTTTTAATATTAGGGAAAAGACACATTCATGCGTGACAAAAAAAATAGGAGATAAAATATATTTTTTGTAATTCTGTTAATTACACTGCGCAAATCGGATGAGGAAGGGTTGGCTCTGCAGTCTCCATAGAACTTAAAATATTCATTTTATTTTAGTTTTCGTGTTCACATTTATGAGGAAAAAACAATGTTACAGACGCGACCGCTCTGAATTGGTACTAAAAGACTGCTTTAAAACTTTCACATAGTCTGTTGCCTTTAAGAAGTAAAAGCAGACAATACACTGTAATACAACTGTAATACAAGCCTCACTGAACATGTAACGAGTAAAATATTACTGAAAATTGATTAGTAATGCCTTACACTACTGCGTTACAGCAAAAAGTAATATGTTACTGTAATGTATTACTTTTGTAATGCGTTACTCCCAACACTGAATATTTTGTATTATATTTAGCAGTATATTCCCATATATTTTGTTCTGTAAGGGATGAAAACACTTAGTCTGTAAAATACACTCATGCAATTTAGCTCTTGCCATAATATGCTGTTAGCTACTGTTTTTTTAGTGTTTTTAATCTTGTCTTTTGCCATTAGGAGGTTAAAAAAAATTAATAACATTGTCTGAGCCTGGTAATTTCTTTTTGTTTGAAGTTTAATAGGAGAAAGGTGGCAGCTTTCAGTGTCTGGAACAGCATTGTGGATAAAATAAAGTAGGCCATTGCACTGCTCTCTGATCTCTGTAAATGTTGACTCGGCACATAATGAACAGCCTCTGTGATTGTGGATAGTGCATGTGCAATGATACAATCTCAACATGTTTATCTACAACTGTTTCCTTGGTGAACTTTAGGCAGCATAAACCGACGACCTCCCTGCAGCCCCACTGTGGCCCCGCCCCTTCACTCCGCAGACTGCCTGCGCCACGGAAACAGCAGCGATGCGCGGGCCGTGAGAGCCGTCTGTCTGCTGATGGGTGGAGCAGCCGCGTCCTCAGCGCTGGGCTACCTGAACTCCTGTCCACCCGCTGCCTCTAACCTGGCTGTTCACGCTCCTGAAATCACTCACTCCACAGGTTTCTCTGAGATGGGGGGAGGCAGTTCGTACCATGCTTGCAGCCAAGCCATAGAGTCGCCACACATTAACAGCTTCGACTTTGAGGGAGACTCTGATTTTGATGCTTTTGACTGTGGGGGGTTTGCATTTTAATGGAATATGTTTACGTTATCCACAGGGTTCGTACATTCATGGAAAAAGGTGGAAATGTTAGGGAATTTGAAAATGGTTCCCAAACCTTTAAAAAGTAACGGAAATTCCTGTAGTGAATATATTTAACTTTGTATTTACTCTATTTACTCAATTTTAAATAGCTCTTTTGTGAGTGAGAACAAAATAATTTTAAAATAATTATCCGGTAATAAGGGCAGCTTGAAAAGTCATACAAACCCATTGGTCATAATATGTGTAAATGCTGTTTACAATGTTTGTTTGATTATCTATTTACAGTAGAAGGCAGTAAACTATGTGAATTAAAATATGCAAAGATGCAACTTTGGAAACAAAGCCAATTTGTAAGACATTATGTTTTTTTGTTTGTTTTTTGCATTGTGACATTTATGTAAATTTAGCACCTTCTTGTCATGCCCATGGACTTTTATAAAAATACACATTCTTATATTTTGCTTTTCATTTTAGAACTGAAATATGACCAAGAAATGCCCTTGCCAGGTTTTTTGAGGTTCATCCAACTATGTCCCTTTTAACTTCTCTATTTTGTGTCATTGTTTCATGTATAATATACGTTATCTTTCCATTTAAAGTAATACTAATAAAAAATTAGCTGTTTCTTAGAGCTCTCAACCCTTTTTTAAAGGTAAGGGGTCGAAATTTGTATAAAGTTTATTGAAAACTTTTCAGATGTTTGTCGATACACTTAGTTTATGACTACAAAAATATATATTATCACTATTGTCACTGTAAAAAAAAGACTTTACTCCATTTTCTCTGTTCTGATTTCTGCTAAATTTGCATATTTCTAATATTTATATCAAATTTGTTTTATTCACCTCTTTCTTAAGTCCCATTTTTCTCACATTCTTTCTCTGTTTGTGTTATAGAGAGTTTGTGTAAGTGAGAACATAGGTGAGTGTTTATTAAACAGAAATATAATATAACATCATTATTGAGTGTGCCGATCCATCTGTCATTCAACTAAATGACTCTGCCAAGAGTTAAACGGAGGATGACAATGGAGATTTGCTGGAGACAGTAAACTGGGGGATGGATGCTAATTTCTTCATGTTACATTTAGCTCACAAGTGTGTCACTGAAAAAAAATTATTATAATAAATTCTTGTTTTTCAATAAAAACATCTTAACATTCTTAAATCAAGACACATTTACTTGAAAAGCATAATTAAGATAACTTGTTTTCCGAAAACAATTACTTGCTTAAAATTCCATGTGGGGCCCAAATGGGTTTGACCTGGGCTATCTAACTGGGCCCCAGCCAGTTTTGTCTTCATGTAGGCCCCTTAGATGAAATCAACTGAAGATAAAAGACAGTACATTTCTTACGCTCAGCTGAGGAGGATTAAACATCTCCACAAACAGCATTACCAGCTTCACTTGTTACTAACAGTTTGAATTTATTTCTGCCATACTTTTACAGAAATTCTCATTGAGAATGAACATGTTTAGATGTTATTTTTTTCATTCATTTTTTTTAAACATTATTTTTACATGAACACATCGAAACTACATTGCTATAGCCTACTAAGATTTGTTCTAATCGCTATATAGAATAGTGTCTGTAATGACAACATTTCGTTGACTAGTTTTGGATAGATTAGGATTATTATATATTTTTTTAATACAAAATAGACGTCAAATAAGCTTTTGTTTGACAGTTTCTGCTTAATATGTTAAATATATGAAGAGTTTGGTTCCAAAACGAGATAAACCCCAGATAGCAAACTGACATTGAATCAACGTGGAAATATGACATCGAAACAACGTTGATCTGACATTGTTTTGCTCATCGAATTAACGTTGAACCAACATCAGACGCGTCATTCTTTCAAAACTAACGGAAAATCAACTCGAAATCAACGCGTTGTTTCAACGTTATGAAAGCAAACCAATTTTCGATTTCATTTAGCTTTGAAGAATGCCGCGTCTGACGTTGGTTCAACGTTAATTCGATGAGAAAATCAACGTTGTTTCATATGTCATAAGAGACGTCGTTTCCACGTTGATTCAATGTCAGTTTGCTGTCTGGGACACCATTTCTTGTTTAAAATTGAGTTACTGCAAAAATCAGTATTGTATCTGGTCGGTATTGAAAAGTCAATGTTTAATTTTATGTAAAATGCGAAATCTGCCGTGCTATTATGTAATGTTTTCTCCTTTTCTTTCCAAACCACAACTAACGCCAGTCTCCCTTCTCTGCAAAATGCGATATATTCGCTTAATCCGCCGTCGGTGTATGAATGAGTGAGTGAATGGGTGAATGTGAGGCAATATGTAAAGCACCTTGGTGGCCATTGGGTCTGTGAAAGCGCTATATAAATGTCCATTTACCATTTACCATAATCAATCACAACGCACCATTCCACGCAATGTAAACAGTAATGGCAGCGCTTTAAATACACCCGGGGGTTGTTTCAAATAAGAAGGCACCGGGTGGTGGTACCGCCGGCTTTGGCCCTACATCGCTCCTCGCAGCTATATATATATATGTATAAATATACAAAAAGCCAGTGGCACCGCCACCCTGGTGCCTTTAGGGTTATTGTGCACGACGTGCAAAAACGTAACCCTGCTTTCACTGTCGAAAAGAATTGTGCTGAAGAGCTTGCATCAGTATGGGCTCTGCAAAAGTGCGCGTCGAGGGCACATATCAACCACAAAGTATGCGTGAGCAACCTTCTGACAGGTCAGGTCTACATCCAGGTCTATAACTGCTGTGTTTAAATTATAGTTGTGAAGTTTGAAGCAAATCAGGAAAAAATAAGAGGGTTATTTCAATAATTGGAAATATAAAGTCAACATGTGTCAATGCAAACAATGTATTATCCTGCTTATTGGTGAGTACTGATCAGTCAAATGGCAGGAAATATTTAACCACTCTTAAATGCTGGAAGGCAATATTCAAATTTTCACACCCTTCAGACCAGGACCTACAGCATGCACTGGGACAGTTTGCAGCCGAGTGTGAAGCAGCTGGGATGAGAATCAGCACCTCCAAATCCGAGGCCATGGTCCTTAGTCGGAAAAGGGTGGCTTGCCCATTTCAGGTTGGTGGAGAGATCCTGCCTCAAGTGGAGGAGTTTAAGTATCTTGGGGTTTTGTTCACGAGTGAGGGAAGGATGAAACGGGAGACTGACGGATTGGTGCAGCTTCTGCAGTAATGCGGTTGATGTACCGGTCTGTTGTGGTCAAGAAGGAGCTGAGCTGCAAGGCTCTCGATTTACCGGTCAATCTACGTTCCTACTCTCACCTGTTGTCACAATGAGCTTTCTCCGCAGGGTGGCTGTGCGATCCCTTAGAGATAGGGTGAGAAGCTTCGTCATTCGGGAGGAGCTCAGAGTAGAGCCGCTGCTCCTCCACATCGAGAGGGGTCAACGTCTTCCAGTGAAGGTGTTCAGGGCACGTCCCACTGGGCGGAGAAGCCCAAGCTATAAAGTTAATGAATGAAAAGAGAAACAAAGCCAACCATACTTGCAGCGCTACGGTAGGCCGATAACCAGGCAGACATCAGGTCGCTGGGCAGGTAAGCAAGACCGGTGACACCATTTTTTTCAAGATTAAAGTCCCGGTTTATAAAAGGGGTGTAGCCCTCGTGATTGGCTCAAAGATAACTTCCCAGAACCACTCACAGCTGCAGCAAATTAAGCATCACTTAGGGAGGCATGAGTCAGACGACTGCATCCTCACATAGCATAGCTCACTTACATTCACTGAAATATTGAAACGTTAGCGATACTGATTCAAAACACGAGCACCTGTGATTGAATGTCAACTCCCCCCAGCCAAATTGAAAGTTTTGATTGGTTTTGCACTCAAGTCAGACCTGTCCATTATTGGCTGTATAATGACACTTTTAAGTGCTTCAGACCTGTCTGTTATAGGCTGAAGCGCAGTGCTCCACCGCAGCAGTTTTTAAAATTGTCTGTCAAATGTCAGCTTGCCCTGTCGCTTCGTCCGCACCTGTGTCAAAGTGCTTCCATAGTACTTTGTAGTTTTGATGAAAAACAAATGTAGTGAAGTTGAATAAATTATTTTTATTCTACTCAAGTAAGAGTAAAAGTACCACATTTTAATTATACTCAAGAAAGTAGAAAAAATGAAAAATCTACTCAAGTACTTTAACAAAAGTATTTATACTTAGTTACTTTCCACCTCTGCAAATATAGCAAGGAGACATTTTAATTGTTTATTAATAAAGATGAAGTTGATGATGCTGACTCGCGATTTTCGCAGTAGGCTAGTGAATGCGCCAGAGAGAAATGCACATTTCATTTCATAAGCAGAGAGCAGTCTGTTTTCTTTCGTTTCGAATTGTTCTGTTTACAAGTAGACATTTCAATATAGATATATTTTTCAGGTCTGTGGAGTAGGCTATACTTATAGCCTATGCTGGTGGAATGATCTCCCCACCCTCATCCGGAATGCAGAATCCCTGACAGCATTCAAAAGACAACTGAAAACTCATCTCTTCTGTGAGCACTTAACATTTTCTTTTAAATCCTTGCTTATCTGGCTTATGCTACCCCGTGCTATGTCTGAACTTTGTATTTTGAGCAGTTGCGTTGTGTTTGCCTCTTCACTATGACTCACTTATTAGTCCTCAGTTGTAAGTCGCTTTGGATAAAAGCGTCTGCTAAATGACTAAATGTAAATGTAAATTATCAGTACAGTCAAATTCTGATGAACCCCTCAGATGTATCATCTTAAATTAAGGGAGGTGATACAATGTACACAATAAATGATAACATTTTGTGAATATTACATTTAATGCTATTTTTGTCTTCATTTATAAACATTTTATATGGTTATTAATTTATAGCCATATATGGTTGGTCAATGCATATATTGCAGTGTATTGGAAAATAAATGCACTAGTTTCCCATATATATGGAAATGTATTATGTAATATATTGCATTCTATTTTGCAGTATATTCTCATATATTTTTGTTTCATAAGGGTGACTTGACTTAAAGTTCAGTCTTGTGCATTTTCAATCATTGTCATTTAAATTTTACTGTATATACAGTACATCAGGTAATACGGATTAGACTGTTAAATTGACAGCATGACTAAGCATTTTGACTATCTTGTTTGTAAACTATGACACAAGGAATTGTCATTTTGATGGCACTGATCTTTTTATTGAGTTTTGAGAGATTGACTAAAGGTTTTAGGCAAGGTACAGGTTTTTGCAGATAATCCATTTTGTGGTGCTGTTTGTATGAATTGTTTGGATAAATGCACATGGTGGTTTGCAAATCTTAAGGATGATTCAAGAAATGCACTAAAGCGACTGAGAAAAACTGTAATAACTTTTTTTTTACTACAAAAATTAACCATCACTGAACTTACTTTAGCTTGACTATGACACTATTGTTTTCTAGATATGATGTACAGCATTAACAAACTTTGTTGCATTATTTTCCTGTTATCATTGTAAATCTGCTTTGAAACAATCTGTATTGTAAAAAAAGTGTTATATAAAAAAGAAGACTTGACTTAAAATGCAGTCTTGTCCATTTTCAAACATTGTCATCAAATTCATCTGTATAGTTTACATCAGGTACATTGAAATATTGACAGCATGACTAAGCATTTTGACTATCTTGTTTGTGAACTATGACACAAGGACTTGTCATTTTGATGGCACTGATATGTTCATTGACATAAATACTGAGTTTTGAGAGATGAACTAAGGGTTTTGGGTAAGGTACAGGCTTTCGCAGATAATCCATTGTGTGGTACTGTTTGTATGAAATGTTTTGAGAAATGCACTGGTTTGCAAATCTTAAGGAAGATTCTAGAAATGTACTAAAGCAACTGGGAAAAACTGTAAATATTCGTCATGAGCTGTGCTGTGATTCTAGTGCTGTGAAATTGAGGCCATTTTACCTATCACAATGAGATATTTAAAATGAGACCATACATGAGGGGAAAACAATGATTTCACAAGTAACATTATATCTTAATGAACTTTTAGTACTGAAGCATGGGGGATATGACAGTGAAATTGAGACCATTTTACCTATCACACTGATATATTTAAAATGATACCAAACATGAGGGGAAAACAATGATTTCACAAGTAACATATCTTAGTGAATTTTTAGTAACTTGAAGCATGGGGGATATGACGGGGGTAGGCAGAGGGTGGCTGGAAATTCAGCCTTGAACAATACTAGACACTTCTAAATATTTAGCTGTTGCGTAACCTCATTTCCCTTTCATAGTCACAACGAGTTATGACGTGACGATGAAAGGGGTTTCGCTTAAAAAGGCTATTCATTTCAAGAAATATAAAACGAGCCAATGGCAAGAAAATGCCATGGGTCTGTGGAATTCCATTACACTATGGTTGGTGGCAATGCCCCTGTCTGGGGAAAAGTGCAATTGAGATTGTCCCTCCTGCCGAAATGTGGTCAGGCTTCTACAGCCCCTCCTTCATTGTACCCAAGAAAACCGGTGGGATACGACCAATCCAGAACCTGCGCGTCTTGAACCGTTCCCTTCATAGGCTTCTGTTCAAAATGCTGACGGCCAAACGCATTTTCCAGTGCGTGTGGTCACAGGATTGGTTTGCAGCAATCGAACTGAAGGACCTTTCATGTCTCCTTTCTTCCTCGACAAAGACCATTTATATTGTTTACTTTCGAGGAGCAGGCAGTACTCGGTCCTCCCATTCGGGCTAGCCCTGTCTCCTTGTTTCTTCACAAATGTCATCAGGGTTTGCAAAATGGGGTTCACACACTGAACTATATCAACAACTGGCTGATTCTAGCTTACTCTCGAGACCAGGTTTGCAAACACAGGGACCTTGTGCTCCAGCACCTAGCCCATCTGGAACTTTGGGTCAACTGGGAGAAGAGCAAACTTTTCCCCGTGCAGAGGATCTCTTTAATCGGTATGGAAATACCGGATGGAAATTAAGCTTACCAGCAAGAGCACAGTCGCTGCTGACTTGCCTGAGACAATTCGAGGGCAAGAGTGTGGTTCACACTGAAATTCTTTTAGAGGCTCCTGGGGCACATGGCATCTGCAGTTGCAGCTCAAGAACCAACTCGTAGTAGTCTGCTGAGACAAAACCGTGACAGTAGCATACATTAACCTGACTGCTGGCTGCAGGGGCTCCATAAGTATATGTTTCCCCCAGTGAGCCTTCTCTCACATACCCTGTGCAAGATCAGAGAGGATGAGGCGCAGGTCACTTTGGTTGCTCTTAGCTAGTACTCCTCGCGACAGCACCTCCCTGGCCAATTCCTCTGAGGAAGGACCACCTGAGGAAGGACCACCTTTCAGAAACGGGGCACCCCTGGGACCCTTGTCTCGATCTGTGTAACCTCAAAATTTGGTCCCTGGATAGGACGAGGCAGGTTTGAGTACCCTATCACCTCTGGTGGTGGCTACCATCACTTCCACTGGAGCAATGTCCATGAGACCTACGCATTAAAGTGGAACCTCTTCGTCATCTGGGGTTTTTCTCGCCAAGAAGACACCAGAAAATGTCAGATCAGTGTCATGCTTTTCTTCCTACAAGGAGGGTTGGAGCAAAAGCTGTCTCCCTTCACCCTTAAATGAAGACAGCAATCCTGGTTGCATTGGCCTCCATCAAGAGCTTAGGGGACCTGCAGGCATTTTCAGATGACGAAGGGTGCATGGCTTACACTCACGTGATCCTGAGACCTTGGCCTGGATATGTGCCCAAGGTTTCCAACACTCCCTTTTGAGACCAGGTGGTGAACCTGCAAGCACTGCCCCTGGAGGGGGCAGACCCAGCCTTGGCACTGCTCTGTCCAGTACGCACCCTCCATGCTCACGTAGATAAAATGCAATGTTTAAGGACCTCAGACCAGCTCTTTGTCTGTTGTGGTGGAAAACTGAAAGGAAACAATCTCTCCAAGCAAAGGTTGTCCCATTGGATAGTGGATGTCATTGCTTTGGCATACCAGCAGCATGGTCGACATGCCCCCTTGATGTGAAGGCTCACTCCACCCGGAGTGTGGCTTCCTCGTGGGCTCTAGCACATGGCGCCTCTCGTTCACTCTGTGAAGAAACATATCTGCATGTTGCCAGCATCCTTCCTTTTACACCCAAGAGGTAGGACAGAGCTGCGCTATGCAGATTATGCAGACCCATGGTATTTTCTTGCCATTGGCTCATTTTATATTTCTCGCAGTTGATAGGCTTTCTAAGTAAAACCCATTTCTTCTTCACGACGTAACATCTCTGTCCCCTACTGTTACATCCGTAACCGAGAAGTTACATCCATAACCGAGAAGTTTTTCTTGCATACTGCCACTTCTCACATTTTGCCAATACCAAATGTGTCACTAGAGTTCATTTAAACTAAACATTTTTATTTTAAACAAAGAAAGAGATTAGTTTATTCAACAGAAGCCTAAAATTTTGGCTTGTGAACCAGTTTGTGAACCTGCACTGATTTGGCAAAATATTTGTGTAAAGTTTTGATAAATCATGAAAACATTTGTGTAATGAATGACAGAGACAGAGAAACACCATAGTTAATTTTTTCAACTAAATAATGACCCCACAGCCGATTTTAGAGTAAATGGATTTGTGGGTTTTGATGTCACTTAGAAGTGGTAAATTAATAGATTCATGTTCTGTTATTTATTTATATTTTTTAAAGAGAGAGAGAAATAGTATAGGGCAGATTACAGTTTTTCTCGATTGTTTACACACATTTTCTGAAAGAATGCCTCATATTCTCAGAACTCTACACACAAATCTAAAAACACTCACACAATTGGCAAAACCCCTCAATTCTCCTGCAAAATGAAACTTTACATTCAAAACAATGTTATTTCTTCTCAAAATGGTATTTTGTTTTCAAATGACACACACAAACCATCATATGAATAGACTTTATATTTTTTTTTTAGACTTTATACATTTATTTGAATTTATAAGAACCAGTTAAACACTGATGTGCTCAATGAAACACTATGATCAATGGAAAACACTTCTTCTCCATTCATCATAATGACTTAAGCCTTTTTTGTTCAGTGTTACACTTACTACAGATATTACATACATAACTGAGTTGTAAAATATTTGAGAATATTGTTTTTTATACACAGAACACACAAATACACGGTAACAAATATATTTTATTTTTCCCACAAAATCAATGGGAGATAGATCCCACATTTTGTACACCCCAACCAACACAAAGTTGCACATACAGTGGTCTACATACAAAACAACAGAATTTCTTATGCTGTTACAGTAAAAAAAAAGAAATTAAAAAAAATATCTACAGTATGCTGCATCCTCTCTTTGGTTTTGATATTTTATGCCAAAGCTCTGATCGCTAATTGTAAAACTGTGTGAAATGTGTTTGTGTGAATATTTGAATGGCAGTGTGTTCCTCATGAAAACAAGAGATTTTCTGCATGAAAATTGTGCCAAATGCAGAGAATTGTGTGTAGTGTTTTGAAAAAAGTGTGTTTTAGAACTGCAATTTGAGTGTAAAGCAGGAATTGTGCTTGTAGTTCAGTAGAATTGGTTCAGGGGGTTGGTGAATGAGTTACATGTTGTGGTCATTGTGTCTCAAGTACCAGAAAATGTGTGTAAACAATCGAGAAAAACTGTAAAAAAATCACTCTTGCTGAAAAACCAAACATTGCCCTCAGACATCACACACAAGCCCTCACAACACACACACTACAACATAATCTTACACACTGCAATAAATTCAAAACAACCCCAGATAGCAAACTGACATTGAATCAACGTGGAAACGACGTCTCTCATGACATTGAAACAACGTTGATTTTGCTCATCGAATTAACGTTGAACCAACGTCAGACGCGGCATTCTTCAAAGCTAAATGAAATCGAAAATTGGTTTGCTTTCATAACGTTGAAACAACGCGTTGATTTCAAGTTGATTTTCCGTTAGTTTTGAAAGAATGACGCGTCTGACGTTGGTTCAACGTTAATTCGATGAGCAAAACAATGTCAGATCAACGTTGTTTCGATGTCATATTTCCACGTTGATTCAATGTCAGTTTGCTATCTGGGAACATATCCATAACTGGTAACTTTTGACTCTTAATGTTTCCACTTGAGTAATTGTGTGCTAAATGAGCTGAAGCTGAGCTGACTTAAGTGAAAAATATTGAATGCTAGTGCATTCTTAATGACAACATGGTGCAGGCAATGAGAAATGAAGGGATTTGTGTGTACCTTTGCAGTGACAGTTCAACAAATGTGTCAAAACAGTGGAATAGTGTTTATAGTTTCGGGAAATGGGTGAACTTTTTGATAAATGGCCTTATGGTTTTTAATTTTTTGTTCAAAAGCCTGGATAGAGTGTTTAAACAATCAAGAAAACCTGTAATATTAATGAATATGATGTGGTAAGTTAAAATGATTTGAAGTTAAATATAAACTATTCAGGGATTGACTTGATAGTTAATGTTGTAGGCTATGTATTGTTCCTGACTACCATAGTATACAAACAATACATTCATGTTTTTGTTTTAATCACACCCCCAACCACTTTCCCTTTCATAGGCTGATATATCAGTGTTCACCCTGGTTAATGTGTATACGCATTTCACATTCATCACCTCTGTCCCATTCCAGCTTGAACCTGCCCCCTCCTTCTTGTTCTACTCCCACTGTGCATATAAAAACCTTTAAAGCCACTGGCAAAAACAGATGTAAAGAAAAAAACTGAACTGAACGTAACGTTTTGGATTAGAGGGATGGAACTCTCTAGTTTTTTGGTGCTGGTTTTAGTCTTGGCTGTGTTGGTATTGATCAGATGGATAAGAAAGCCAAGTGGACGTTCTTTGCCCCCAGGGCCGCTGGCACTGCCACTGATTGGAAACTTGCCAATGATTGACAAGCGTGCACCCTTTAAAAGCTTCATGCAGGTAAGAGAGAAGGAGGGACTTTGTGTCTTAATTGTATGTTTTGCTTTTACTGCACTGTATGATTCATTAGAATGTGGTCTACATGAGGGGGGATCACATAAGAGGACATACTGTAATGTGCACTCTTGGTGGTTCTCGATGAATGGTATAAACACTGAAAAATGGTAGTGAAGTAGGCAGTGCCCCTGCACACATCAAATGATGTACTTCAGTATAGGATAAGCATTCTAATTACAGTTTTTCTCAATCGATTTGGTACATTTCTCCAAACTCAGGTAACTGCTCTCAAAACAGTTAGCACAGCAAACTAAACACACTCTTATGTTGGCGAAACAGCTAAGTATTCGCTGCACAATGAAACACAGCATTTTATTCTAGTAATGCATTTATTAAAAATCAATATTAACATCAAAACTAAAAGTGTGTTCTCTGTTGATTTGAAAACAAATTCAGCTGAAGATACACAAAGAAATAAATGAAAATACATGTTTTTCATTAAGTTCTTTAATGATGAGTCCATGTGTATTACAATGAGTTGTCACCCCACAAATAAATAAATAAATAAAATAAATTATGCAAAGAAATACATAGGTTTAAAAAAATGCATTCATTGAATCAATTTATTTATCATGCCTCTCAATTACATCTGGCCAGAGAATTTCATCAACATCACAGCAAATGTTTTTTTTTTCCTGCGAGTCATGCATCGCAGGAAAAAAAGCCTTGAATGCAGTAGCTATCCTAGACACGTTTGTGCCCCAATATCTCCACAGGCCTCTTCCATCACTTGAAGAAGACTTAGTTGTATTCTTGTTGGTAAGATTTCCTCAATTTAATTCACACCACACCATTTGCTCCTGATCACCCTGCGGAAAGAGGATTTCATTAAGGAGATTTTAAAAATGTAGGAGCCTTGCTGTGTTGAATGGTCAAAAGAGAGCATTGTGTGCCATAACACCAGTTGTAGAAATTGTGGCACAGAGAGTGATGTTGCCTCCTCGTTGTCCAGGGACATTGACTGTAGCATGATGGCCGATCACATTTCTCCCTCTTCTCCTCTTCCTACATCCTCAGCCCTTCTTTCTCTTTCTACGACATCCTCAGCTCTTCTTTTTCTTTCTCCTACATCCTCAGCTTTTCTTTCTCCTACATCCTCAGCTTTTCTTTCTCCTACATCCTCAGCTCTTCTTTCTCCGACATTCTCAGCTCTTCTTTTTCTTTCTCATACATCCTCAGCTCTTCTTTCTCATACATCCTCAGCTCTTCTTTCTCCTACATCCTCAGCTCTTCTTTCTCATACATCCTCAGCTCTTCTTTCTCCGACATCCTCAGCTCTTCTTTTTCTTTCTCATACATCCTCAGCTCTTCTTTCTCATACATCCTCAGCTCTTCTTTCTCCTACATCCTCAGCTCTTCTTTCTCATACATCCTCAGCTCTTCTTTCTCTGACATCCTCAGCTCTTCTTTTTCTTTCTCGTACATCCTCAGCTCTTCTTTCTCCTACATCCTCAGCTCCTTCTCCATCTTCTCTTCCTCTTCTTTTCCCTCTACCTTGTCCACCACCTCTCGCTCTTACACCTCTTCCTTTTCCACTGCTCATTCCCTTCTTTTTATTGTATTTTCTCCTCATTCATGTTTGTTCTTCTTCTCTTCCCCTTTTGTAGTTGTTATAATTAAGACAGCTGTGTGAACAATTGGGAAATTGGCTTTTTCTGTGTTGAGGGGATTATTAACTCGTCAGATATCAATTCGGGGTTAATTGAGGACATAAGGTGTGCAACTGACTATTTTACAATTCATAGAGTTTTGTTTGTTGAGTTTTGAAAATGATACAAAAATGTTTGTGATCCTTGTGAAGACCAATGAAAAAGTTGCAAAAGTTTTTCCTGATATATTAAAGATTCGGTTGGGTGTATGAACTGCTGTGATATCATTAGGGAATTTTGTGCACAGTGTTTTGAGAAAATTATGCTTTTGATTTGTAATTTGTATGAAATGAAGGAGAATTTACTATCTGTTTAGGACCATTACGAAGTGTACAGATCACTGTGTTAAATGTTTTGAGAGCAGTGACCTGAGTTTGAAGAAATGTACCAAATCGATTGAGAAAAACTGTAACCCTGCCTTTGAAGATGAGTTGTGCCACTCCATCTAACTTGGCTTTTGTCTGCACCATTGAAGTGTATAGATGTAAAGTCGCACAGCGATATTTATCACTCATGGAAACAATCATGCCAATAAACCATTAAGGTATATGAAATCACAAATATATTTTGGATTTATAGTTTTATTTGCTTATTAGTATTTAATTGCTTATTTTCTGTATATTTATTTATTTATTTATTTTCTGCTAGGCAGAAAGGTGTGCCAAAATACAACTAGTCCAGGGTCTTGTCTGATCTCATATAGGGCTCCATGTTATTCGGCAATGCTACAGAGCAAGTCCTCATAAATGCCTCTAATGTCTGCAATGTACAAGTCTGCTGAACCAAAAGTTATATTCAATAGTCTATTACCTGTCCCAGTCCTTTGGATGAGACACTGAACCAAGGTCTTGACTCTCTGTTTAACGCCGTCATCCTAGCCAAATTTACCCTTTTGCCTCTGTCCATCATGGCCTCCTAATCATGTATACTGATTGGCTCTATCTCGGCTAATAGATTTTTTTTTTATAAGAAAGTTCCCATGATGGTAACGTCAAATGAACCAATCATTCATCAACATCTAAACCTCTGTTAGTTCTCAATAAGAACTTCTGTAGACTTCTGACTGAAATAAAGTCAGTCTGGTCAGAAATAAGTGAAGCTGGTAATGCTGTTTGTGGAGTTGTTGAATCCTCCTCTGCTGAGAACTTCAGTGATTTCATGTCTTTTATCTTCAGTTGATTTCATCTAAGCCTGTGCCTGTTGCTGAAGAAAGTTCTAGTTTGTGTTCTCTTCCTCCAGTAAGCTGGTGTGTGGTGGGCGCTCTGGCGCAATATGGCTGCTGTCACGTCATCCAGGTGTATGGTGCACATTGGTGGTAGTTGACGAGATTAGATTATGTAAAAGTGCTTTGAATACCCAGAAAAGCCGCTATATAAATGTAAATGTAATGAATTGTCCAACCTTTTACTGGTATGTGAAAACAAATTCTGTTTTCTCAACAGTGGAGCAAAACCTATGGGCCTGTGATGACAGTGTACCTCGGGCCTCAAAGAATGGTGGTTCTGGTTGGTTATGATACAGTGAAAGAGGCTCTAGTGGACCAGGCAGATGACTTTGCTCCCAGAGGCCCCATTCCCTTTCTAAACAGAGTTGTGAAAGGCTATGGTACAAGTGATGCTGATTCACTTTTGTTTTATAAACAGATACTATCAGTTTGAAATAATTCAGTCTAGATTAAATGTTTCTAGGTCTGATCGTCAGTAATGGTGAACGCTGGCGTCAACTGAGGCGGTTCACTCTCACCACACTGAGGGATTTTGGAATGGGCCGTAAGAGAATGGAACGGTGGATTCAAGAAGAGAGCAAGCATTTGCTGAAAAGTTTTGAAGAAACCAGATGTGAGGAACTTACAAACACACTCAATTTATTATGTACTAGGATTTGAATATGTTGACGGTTCTGCGCTAAAAATTATAACGGTAAGGTTTTCTCCTTCAGCTAAACCAGTCGACCCAGTCTTCTTCATGAGCCGGGCTGTGTCCAACGTGATCTGTTCTTTGGTGTTTGGGCAGCGCTTTGATTATGATGACAAAAGCTTCCTGCACTTGCTCCAGATCATCTCCAGACTTGTGCGCTTTGTCAGCAGCCCTTGGGGCCAGGTAAGCAGATGAGACAGTGTGGGGCAGGACAGGACACCAGAGACACTGTTTAGAACCACTGTGCCCCGGAACAGAGAACTTTAAAAAAATATGACATCGAAACAACATTGATCTGACATTGTTTTGCTCATCGAATTAACGTTGAACCAACGTCAGACGCGTCATTCTTTCAAAACTAACGGAAAATCAACTTGAAATCAACGCGTTGTTTCAACGTTATGAAAGCAAACCAATTTTCGATTTTCATTTAGCTTTGAAGAATGCCGCGTCTGACGTTGGTTCAACGTTAATTCGATGAGCAAAATCAACGTTGTTTCAATGTCATGAGAGACGTCGTTTGCACGTTGATTCAATGTCAGTTTGCTATCTGGGAACAATTCTTGAAGTTGTGGAAAATTGAAGTCGTTAAGGGTTCCGGCAGTGGCAAATGGAAGTTGTTTGAAAGTTATCTTTGTCCATGAGCACATTGCTAGTTTGGTCAAGGCCTGGGGCCCTGGGGCTTTTTGAGGCCGAGCACCCAGGAGAAGTGAGGAAATAGAAAGAGTGGGTGATTGGAGTCGTTGTTGGTTGAAATCCTGTAAATTGACACTAAAAGACACCAGTTTATGATCAGATATAGACAGGTCAAGTGCACTTCAATTAAAAGGTGTTCTTCTAGTGCAACAAAAATAACATCAAGTATGTGACCTTTTGACTGAGGAAATTCAATGAATTGATTCAGTCCAAAGTTGTCCAAGCATGATATAATTTTTTGTCTCAGTGGCCCTTTTTTGTGATTTGCAATTCATTCAATATACAAATTTGTTACTATTAGGTGCACTTTCAGACCATCAAACCCATAACCTGGTATTGTTAAAGTTATTCTCTAAACCAGTGTTTCAATCCAGGTCCTGGAACAGTTCCATCCCTCCACATTTTCTCTCCCTTATCTAACACACCTGATTAGTGTATAATTTGAGTCAAATAAAGCTTTATGAATTACAACTCAATTTTCTCATTCTAAACAGCTGTGCAACATCTTCCCTCGACTAATGGAGCACTTGCCAGGAAGTCATAACACCATCTTAAGAGAGATTGACGACATCAGAACCTTCATTATGAATAAGGTTAAGGAGCATGAGCAGAATCTAGACGTCAATGACCCAAAGGATTTTATTGACTGCTTCCTTAACAGATTCAATCAGGTAACCGCAATGTTTACAATGTTTTTATATCAGTTTTTTGTCATTGTCTTTTTGCTGTGTGAATATATAATAATACAGCCATTCTAATAGGCCATGAGTGTGGTATTGTGTTTATATAACAGTTCAACAGCACAAGTTTGTAAATAAATAAGAAAAAAACAATGGAGTGTCATTAAAAAAACTATTTTGTGTGGAAATACTGCCTTCTGCCACAGATTAAAAATCTCAAGGTAACAGTTTAACATCTGAGCCCAAGCCTCAGTTACTCATTTTAAAACATCACAATATAACTAGCAACAAAGTAATGCTGAGTTGCCTCAATTAAGTTTATTGTACTGTTTCAGCCTGTTTCAGGCTTTATTAAGCTCATATGCAGAGGACGAAATCCAGTGGGAACTGGAGAGTCACGTTCAGTCCCACGTCACCGGACTAATTTGCCTAATCTTCACAGTACTTTAGACTGCAAAGGAAAAGGTCTGGGGGAAAAAAGTTCCAGGGACAAATTTTACCTGGTAATATCAGTTATCAATCGACTCATTGCAGTGAGATAATCAAGTGAATATTTAAGTGATGATGAGCGTTAGTGATGAACACCTGCTGTCAACAAAGCAGAATCACTGAAGAAAATAGGAACAAGAACGAGAGAAAAATAGAGATGAGCAGAAACACTAGAACTAGTATTAACTTCCAGCCAGTTCACCTTATTATTACACTTCTTACTACACTTATTACACTATTACAGTTTGACTTTATTTCTGTCAAACGCCTATTGAAGCTCTTATTGAGAATTTAGAGATGTTTAGATATTGATGTTTAATTGTTAATGTTTAGTTTTATGTCACCATTATGAGGATAAGTGTTGCCTTTAGTTGTGCTTTTGACCTGGCTGCTTTAGCTGTGTGTTTACAAGGCGCATTGTTATGGCAAGAGAAAATTAATCAGGTGAGTTTGGCTGTGCTGATGTAGTTGTACTTCTTGTATTTCTTCTTGTTGTTCCTCTTTTCTTCAGTGATGCTTGTTAATAACAGGTGTTCATCACTAATGCTCAATCATCACTTACATATTCTGTTATTTATCTCACTGAAACAAGTAGTGTGGACACCACAGGATGTTCCTGTGGGGTTAAAAGAGTTAAAGGATTCACCATTGTGCTGAAGAGTAGAGACACACGCTGAAAGAAATGCTGCAAGTGGAGTGATACAAATGGCTAAATGGGTGATACTAGATTCGAGAACAAGAACAAACTGTTGAACTACTGTAAATAAATGTATAGAGTATAAGTGTGTGTGTGTGTGTGTGTGTGTGTGTGTGTGTGTGTGTGTGAACAATGAATTGAAGAACTGCAGCCTACAGCACAAGTTAACAGTACATTGAAGAACTGAAGAACTGTAGACTATAATTTCTGTTCTACTTTTTCTTTGTGTGGTACAACAGGAAAAAGACAATCTTGACACAGAATTCCACAAAAATAACTTGATGGCGACTGTTTTAAATCTGTTTGTAGCTGGGACGGAGACCACCAGCACAACTCTCAGATATGCCCTGATGCTGCTGATCAAACACCCCCACATACAGGGTAAGACATAGGTTACACAATCAATGTCAAACCAAGTGTTATTCTATTATTTATCTACATAGTCTCACGCAGCCAGATCTTTGAATCATGGCAAAAAGTCTGGGTAGGATTGCACCTGTCATTCATAAGTTACTTCTAATGACATTTAAAATGTAATGTAAATTCCACACTTTGTAGTCTCACATAGCCAGAACTTTGAGTGATAGCATGGTCTGGGGGTCTTTAGCTGCTTCATTTGCCCAAGGACCACCCACTTAGATAGAAAGAGGTATTCCGACTGACTGTTAAGCGATCATTCACAGTTTGTCTTGTTTAACGTCATGTTTAGTGATGGGTAAATGTCAGTACAATAACAGACAGTGTTGGAGAAGCTATTTTGAAACCGTAGTTTTACAAGCTACAAGGTACTCAAATTAAAGTAGTTAAGATACAGTCAAGCTTCTCTATTGAAAAAGTAGTTAACTACTCTACAAGTTACTATTAAAAAGTTGCTAGCTACATACATTTTACAATGTCATTATATGTTACAAATAAGTGAATAATTGTTAAAGAAGAATGTTGGTTGAATTTTACATTGTTAAATTGGATAAACAGGAGGAGTCAAAAATGCATGATAAACTTACAGGACATGCAGTGATTAAGCTTCCAGCATTTACTGTGAATGGAGCCGCTCTGAGATGCGAATCCTGAGCTTGTTGCGTGAACACAGTATGTTTCACTCTGAAACCCACCACAACCTATTTAATTAGATCACAGCCTTGCCGTGTGATAAGCGCACTAAGCTTTTTCGCGATTTTGTTTTCTGTTCAATTGACAGATGCCATGCCAAACCTTTTAGGTTTATTACAAGACTGTGGTGGGACAGAAAAAACTATGTCAGCTCTCACTCCTAGAGGGCACGGCTCACCTTGGGACTGGTACGCCAAGGCAATGGCATCCACTATCCAGTGGGTCAGCTTCTGCTTGGAGACAGCCTTTCGCTTCTCTTGACCTACAAAGCAGACAAAGTGCTGCTTTGAGCTTCTGAAACTCTTGAGTGCGGTCCATGTAAACACGCAGTGTGCGAACGTAGTGTGCAAGGGCTGGGTCTGCCATCTCCGGGAGCATTGCTTGCAAGTTCACCGCCTAGTCCTGGAAGGGAGTGGTGGGAACTTTCGGCATGTATCTGGAAGACATAAGACTAGGCCGGTCTGAATTTTAGCCACGATTCACTGACCAAAAATACTTGCAGATCCGCCATCCTCTTGAAGGAAGCGAGTGCAGTCAGGAGCTTTAAACTGACTTTTCAGCTGACTCTAGAGGCTCAATGGGAGCTCTCTGTTAGCCTGAAAGGACTAAAGGAATCAACCTCCTGGCACCTCTCAGGAACCTGATGATCAGGTCATGCTTTCCCAGTGATCATCAACAGAGTGTGTTATGTGCTGCGATGGTGGCAACATAGACCGTCAAGGTGGAGGGGGACAGCTTCAGCTCCAAGCCATTTTGAAGCAAAGCAGAGAGCCGACCAATGTATGGTATTCCCAACGGGCTAGTACGGCGCTACTGTGCAAGACCTGCTCCTCGTCCTACCTGAACTAGGACAGTGTCTATGAGAGAGGGCTCACAGGCTCAAGTCGAACCACGAACGCCGTTCATACAGTTCAGAAGTGGCACGTCACTCGTGGTTCGACTTATCGAGACTGTTTTCCAAGGTGGCTCCTGCCTCTATACACGAAGTGCACTGTCTTTATAAAGTGTCTTCTTATTAAACGGTCTGTACACTTACAAAGTTCTCAATGCTTCGTTTTGCATGTAGGGACCCTTATTATGTTACCGTGTTAGTGTGGGGCTATTTTGAGCCTTGATAGTGGTATTAAAGCCACAATATGTATTTTTTCTGCTTTAAAAATAGCAAAAATAACTGTATCTATGTTATATATTTCTATTAGATGTGTACTTACATTTTCCCGACAGTTTCCACCAACTTTAAAATACGGAGAAATTTATAGTTTAATTCGAAGACACGGGATGTTTCTTTATTTCCGCTTCGTCGCCCGTCTATGGCGTCATATAACCTTTGACTCCTCTATTTTCTCTAACTTCCTTGCGGAACCCAGCGAAACCGCCAAACACAAAGGGGAACACTGGACTACCGCCAATAAAGCAAAGAAAATAACAAAGAAAAAAAAGTTGTACTTATTTTTATGTGTGTAAATCACGAACGCTCACTCTTAACAGACAGACTTCCCTGGTGCTGCTCGCACGTCACAGAATGTTCATAAAGCGCTCCCCGTTCACAGTAACCGGGTCGTCTCATTCAAATCAGCCAGCCGTTGCTGTCAGCGAGCAGCGCACATTGAATACTCATATGAGTCAGGCTGCGAATGTACGTGCCCGCTTGAGCTCTCTCATGCTTACTAAATAAACGCCTCACCTCCGGCGCCGCGCACTCCAGTCATTGCCTTTAGCCTTTAGCACATAGTGGATGCATTACGCAAACCCAGTCAAACGTTTGACTGCAGTATCTTATGTGCTTTATAATCCGGTGCGCTCTATATATGAAAAATGTTCTAAATAGGTCATTCATTGAAGGGGCATAATATAAATATTCATATTCGTCTGTATTATAGTTATGGACCACGATTACGCTTTGCCTGCACGTTCTGCTGCTACAGCCAGCTCAGTAAAGCTCAAACGTACGGGTGAAAAATATGACCCTAGAAGGGTTTGGGACAGGAGAAGCATGACACAGATAAACATTGGGGTTGCATTTAAAGCTTCTCTACAGAGAGATGCCGTATATCCGTATATTTTGTGAAACGATGATGTCATGTCATGAGCTGAGCTGGTTGTCATTGACAGCGACAACAACTCCCGTGAGCCCACGCTCTTTCCCGACGTCATCAAAGTACGTCTTTTGTTATTATTTTAAATGAGTGACCCCTGGTGGCCAAAAATTGCATACTGTACGTTTAACTAGCGATTTCTCTTTATTTATTATATGCCCCCATATACTAGCATATACGCTAAACAGTTTTTAGAAATAAAACTCTTTACATTCGGTTATCATGAAAATAAATGAGAACGTCGACTACCAATGTGTAATTAGACAAAAGGTTCATTTTCGCCGGAGTTCTCCTTTAAGTGTATTTGATGTGGCTAAAGTGGAACTATTGCAAGTATACTTTAGGTACACTTTAAATATCTTGCATTTTAACTGTACGTACACACAGCCGCCGACTTGAGCTTCCAAAGCTACCGGAAATCATTAAATGTACAAAAACCCTATAGATCTCTTGTAAGATTTGTTTTGTTTGGATGATTTTGCATTCATGATTATGTCTACAAACAGTAGTTATTAGTAACATGAAAATGACATTTCTTTGGGAGGGTTTGCCTTCGTCATGCTTCCTGGAAGTAGGGGTAGGAAGTTGACAGCCTCGTGAATACCTTTTTTTTCTTTTCTAGAAATCCTTTATTTGTGAAAGAAAACATGGATAACACCTAAAATTAAATTAAATTATCTTTAAAAAAGGAAAATGACAACTAAACACTACGGCAATATATATTGCCAATGGGCTTAAATCAGTTAAGAAGTGCATAAATTATTGCTTAGTGCCCCTTTATGCCACAACTTATTGTGGTCAAGTTCTGGACACAGAAAGGAAAAGTGACCTTCCACATTTCTCAGCCCACAGACTGCTTACCTCTGCTTTAAATATCCACCTATGTGAGACAACCTCCAAAATAATTTGATAATGCAGAGAAAAATATATATATATATTGTTTTGCAGAGAGCAAAAATACACCTTTTGTATGTATACATTACTTTTGTTTTAAATTTCTCTTTCTTCATGAACTTTTCACATTTAAGAGAAACTTTGCAAAAACATTTTTTTATTGTGTTGCTTAAGGGCAAATGCAAAGGGAGATTGACAGAGTTATTGGAAGGAACAGGGTCCCTACAATGGAAGACAAGAAGTCCCTCCCCTTTACTGATGCTGTGATTCATGAAGTACAACGTTTTCTGGACATTGTCCCACTAAATATTCCCCATTATGCCATGAAAGATATCACATTCAGAGGTTATGTAATTCCAAAGGTAACAATTAACCACTCAATACTATATTTTATTGTATAGCGTTTGAGTATTGTTGTGTTTTAAATAAGCTTTCATTCTTTCAGGATACAGTGATTATTCCCATGTTGCACTCTGTTCTACGAGATGAGGTACAGTGGGAAACCCCTTGGACATTTAACCCAGAGCACTTTCTGGATGCCAACGGCAACTTTAAAAAGAATCCAGCCTTTATCCCCTTTTCTGCAGGTAAACAGTCTCACATCAAACTAAAGTTTTAAAGTTGTTAATTTAAATAAGATTACATATTGTGAAAATGGTTACATGTCTTTAATTTTCATATAAAAAGGCATTATTAAAACTTGTTCTATTTGTTATCAGTCCTTAAAAATCAAGCATGAGTCAAATAATGTCTAACCCAGACCTATAACACTAATATTTAACTTTATGAAGTAACTCTTATTTAAGCTGCTTGGTTTTAAAGTTACTTTAGTCAACGTGGCTGAATCTGAATCTGAATCTTGAATCTTGTTCAACAAGCTTGAATCTGGATGTTTCAAGCTGATGAAACATCCAAATTAGATTCAAAAGCAATAATGCCAAATGCAAATTTTCCAAAAAAAATAACTTCCTTACAAAAAGACAAATCAACAACGTACAAAATACCTGCAGAACTGACGTGCCATTGTATTAAGAACCCAGTAATGGGCACCAAAAAAAGTGTGAATACAAGAAGTTTGAAGTAAATTATTTATTCAAACTTGCAAAATCATGAAAAATCCTTACCTAAAATATATCACATAAATGGAAAATTAAATAAAAAGTGAAAAATCTTATCCAAAAGCATCCAAATTAGATTCAAAAGCAATAATGCCAAATGCAAATTTTCCCCAAAAAAAAAAAAAAAATGACTTCCTTACAAAAAGACAAATCAACAACGTACAAAATACCTGCAGAACTCAGGCCACACTGTCCACTGCAGCAACCAACACAAACTAACTACATTAAAAACAGACAAGCACTTAAATACTGGTGGCCAGCACCATTACCCCGTAGGGAGGGAGGGACAAACTCACATACAACACTTTACACACTTTCCCATAAATACAGAGTCTAGAAGAAACATTTTGTCATACTGTTCAAAATATAATCTAATTTCTTATGCAACAGTTGATATCATAATCAAATACAATCATGATAAACTTTTATGTCAATAAACATTTTCTCTCTCTGTGTGTGTGTGAGTGCATTTATTTAAAACTCCTTCCGTTATTTTTTAAGTCAATCTGTAACCCTCACAGACATCAGGGAACGAATGCCTCACGCAAAACTGTAGACAGCATTTCTTGAGCAATGCAATGAAACCAGCTGAAGGATAACTGAAATTGTAACTTAAATTGGAGCAATATCATAGACATTGTTTTCCTAAGTAAACCAGATACTGGTGAAGCTTATGTGGCCTGCCTGACGCTATACACAATAGGCTATGATTAACACTTTTCTCTACGCAAAACTAAATATTTATACAAAAAAAGATTATAAATAATTATTTATAAATAAATAAAAATGTATTTCAGTGTATTTTTGACATGTCACTAGTTCATTTCTTCTGCATTCTATTTCTGCAGGTAAACGCTCTTGTGTGGGTGAGTCTCTGGCTCGTATGGAGCTCTTTCTGTTCATCGTGTCTCTGCTTCAGAGGTTCAGCTTCAGTAGTCCACAGGGTCCAGATGGCATAGACCCCAGTCCTGAACTCAGCAGCTTTGCCAACATGCCTCGATTCTATAAGCTCATTGCCTCCCCCCGCTGAACAACATGGATAAATAGCTCAGCAGTCAACACCAGGATGAATTACTAGAAAAGGCATTTGGAATTTCAAAGGGGGAACATTTGTCAATTTACCCTAACATTTACTGTAATATTGCTGATATTCTGATATTTCTGTTTTCTGTTTTTCTTCAACATCACCAAATAAAAATGTATCATCATATGAAAAATAAATACCACAAACAATTGTGTGTAGTTTTGAATCATGTAAAAATTAACATGAAGTCAAGTTTAAAAAAAAAAAAAAAATCAGGGGTTATTTCACCCAAAAATGAAAAATCTGTAATCTCATGTCTTTACAAACCCGTAAGACTTTTGTTCATTTTAAGAACACAAAAATGTTTTTAATGAAATCTGAGTTTTCTGTATAGCTCTATTGAAAGTCCATGAAACTACTGTAGGCTCCTAAGGGAATGACACTCTACGGCCCAGAAAGTCAATGAAGAAAATGTTTAAATATTCCATGTGACTACAGTGGCTCAACTATAAGTTTATCAAGCGACGAGAATACTTTTTGTGTGAAAAAACAAAAATAACGACTTTATTCGACTATTCCTTTTCTTCCTTGTTGGCCTGAAACGAGACTTCAATAGATTTTCATGACGCATAAGTAGTTGAAGGAGATCGCAATTCTCACGCATGCGTCATGGAAATCTATTGAAGTCTCGTTTCAGGCCAACAAGGAAGAAAAGGAATAGTCAAATAAAGTCGTTATTTTTGTTTGTTTTGTTTGTCATTCCCTTAGGAGCCTATGTGGTAGTTATACAGCTCTCAAATTTAATCAAAAATATCTTCATTTATGTTCCGAAGATGAACGAAGGTCTTACGGGGTTGGTACAGCATGGGGGCGAGTAATTAATGACTTAATTTTCATTTTTGGGTGAACTAACCCTTTAAACGCAGTCCTCCATTCATCACCCTTCCTCATGTGGACCCAATGATAAGCGTTACGTAAATCCAATTTTGTGAAGATGGATGCTCCCTGCAATCGCTCGAAGGCTGAAGACATCAACTGCAAAGGATAAGTATTCTTTACCGTGATGTTGTTCAACCCTCGGTAATCAATGGCACGGTCGCAGAGATCCATCCTTCTTCCCCACAAAAAAGAACCCCGCCCCTGCTGGAATCAGAAATATACACTCACCGGCCACTTTATTAGGTACACCTGTCCAACTGCTCGTTAACACTTAATTTCTAAGCAGCCAATCACATGGCGGCAACTCAGCTGGTTCGAGCTGATAGAAGGGCAACAGTGACTCAAATAACCACCCGTTACAACCAAGGTGGGCAGAAGAGCATCTCTGAACGCACAGTACGTCGAACTTTGAGGCAGATGGGCTACAGTAGCAGAAGACCACACCGGGTGCCACTCCTTTCAGCTAAGAACAGGAAACTGAGGCTACAATTTGCACAAGCTCATCGAAATTGGACAATAGAAGATTGGAAAAACGTTGCCTGGTCTGATGAGTCTCGATTTCTGCTGCGACATTCGGATGGTAGGGTCAGAATTTGGCGTCTACAACATGAAAGCATGGATCCATCCTGCCTTGTATCAACGGTTCAGGCTGGTGGTGGTGGTGTCATGGTGTGGGGAATATTTTCTTGGCACTCTTTGGGCCCCTTGGTACCAATTGAGCATCGTTGCAACGCCACAGCCTACCTGAGTATTGTTGCTGACCATGTCCATCCCTTTATGACCACAATGTACCCAACTTCTGATGGCTACTTTCAGCAGGATAATGCGCCATGTCATAAAGCTGGAATCATCTCAGACTGGTTTCTTGAACATGACAATGAGTTCGCTGTACTCAAATGGCCTCCACAGTCACCAGATCTCAATCCAATAGAGCATCTTTGGGATGTGGTGGAACGGGAGATTCGCATCATGGATGTGCAGCCGACAAATCTGCGGCAACTGTGTGATGCCATCATGTCAATATGGACCAAACTCCCTGAGGAATGCTTCCAGCACCTTGTTGAATCTATGCCACGAAGAATTGAGGCAGTTCTGAAGGCAAAAGGGGGTCCAACCCGTTACTAGCATGGGGTACCTAATAAAGTGGCCGGTGAGTGTATTTCTCCATAGCCTTCCTCTGGAACAGAAAGTGAATATAGTTTGCCCTTAGGCGGAGACTTACCTGGCTCTAAATCTATCGCACAGTCATAGGGACGGTGAGGAGGAAGAGAAGCAACTCGAGACTTACTGAACAATTGTCTCAGGTCCTGGTACTACTCGGGCACGTTAGATAAATTCATTGCCTCCTCCTGGAACACAGAAACAAGTACAGACGAACACGCAGATACAAGACAAGACTCATGACACTTAGTACTCCATGTGGAAACTGAATTGTGGCCCCAATCGACTCTGGGATTGTGCAATGTGAGCCAAGGATGACCAAGGACAACTGGTGTGAGTGGTGAGTTCATGAGGAGGAATTTTATAGTCTCGATGTGATTCCCAGATGTGATGAGTGATGGATTCAGTGGTGTAGTTGATGTTGGGAAGGGGTTGGCCATTGAGGGCGTTGACAGATATCTGGTGCTTGAGTGGGAGTTGAGAAATGGGAATAGAAAGTTCCTTAGCCAGTCCAAAATCCATAAAATTTCCTTCAGCCCCAGAATCCAGTAGTGCCTTGGTGTCGTGTGTGCTGGTTGCCAACCTTAGTCTTACCGGGAGGAGGGTAGATGATGATGGTGATCTTCTCGGCAGAGATCCCACCCGATAGTAGCCTCAATGTTACTACCAGGCTTGATCTTTTACTGGGCAGGCATGAATGAAATGGCTCACCTTTCCACAGTAAAGACACAGACCCTGGGATCTCCGCCTCTCGCGCTCCTCCCAGGAAAGCCGAGCTCTACCCACCTGCATGGGCTCGGGATCGGAGAGTGGGCTGACCGGGTCCCTGTTGCCGACTCGGGAATCCTCCGTGCTAAAAAGTTGATGACTCTGCTGAAACCGACCCATTCTGTCCAGCCGAGCGTCGACCTTAAGAGCTAGCTCAATCAGTCCATTTAGATTCTATGGAAGACCCAACATATTAATCTCTCTTTGGACACGGTCAGCCAACCCATGCAGCAATTGGTCCCACTGCGCCTCCTCGTTCCACCGGTACTCTGCGGCCAGGGTGCGGAACTGGATGGAGTATTCAGACACCGAGCCATTACCCTGGCCAGACTGATCTCATGAAGTAGCGTGTGTATGACACGCCAATTCGTATTTCCATTTTTGGCGTGCTTTCAAGACGCATAATCGCCTTTCAGCGTGTTTATGAACGCCGTTGACTTAACGTTATATAAATATATGACTTGCCTCAACCCCATCCCTAAACTTAACCGTCACTGGGGTTAATGGCATTTATGACTGGAGATTTGACTGCGTGTTCGGACACGCGGAATGACGCGGACGTTAATGGCGTAGACATATACGCATACACGCGGACACACGCGGATAGCACAAAATGCGTGGAGATAACATGCCACCTGACTCGAAAGTGGCGTATATGTTTACGCAAAAGTAATGATGTCATGTTGCCCTGGCGGAGATTGGCGAGTAGTCTGGCCGCCTCCCTACACCCCACGACACAATCTATGACCCTCTTCATAGCTTCGGAGAATGCCTGGAACGAGGCACAGCATGGGTCTTGTTTCTCCCACACCGCCGTTCCCCAGAGAGCCGCTTTGCCTGACAGCAGCGTTAGAACAAATGCCACTTTACTTTGTTCCTGGGAAAACGTCAGTGGCTGCAATGAGAAATACAGAGAGCATCGGGTCAAGAAAGCTGTGCAATATTCGGGTTCACCTGCATATCCCTCGGGGGCAGGCAGCCGTGGTTCACGCTGCTGGTGCAGCTCTGGTGGTACGGGTTGAACTGGCGGTGTGGGTGGCGCAGTGGGAATTCTCAGAAGTTGGAGTTGTTGGGTGAGCTCAGACACCTGCGTCACAAGTGCTTGGACCGCCCGACCCGTGTTGCTGATGCTCACCTCCTGCTGATCCAAACGTGCAATACTCCGATTGGCAAACTCGTCCCAGTCTCTTCCGCCTGCTGCATCCATGATGATGGTCAGATCGTTCTGTTACGTACGACAGGAGAAAGGATGCAAATGCAAGGCTCTTTATTAGAGAAAATAATATTAAATGTCAGAATCACACAAAGGAATTCCACAGCTGATGATGGTGGGTCGAGCGGTTGCCAGCGCAGATGGTAAGTGACACAGGGACCTCAGTGAACAACCAGTGCAGTTCTCCCAATCCAGTAATGATGATCCGTGCGTGAAGTAATCCGTGGAAGTGCAAAGAAACTCGAGGAAGATGAAGATGAACAGGGAATCCACAGGAGGCCAAACAAACTCAGGAACCAGGGAAGAACAATGATCTGACAACATGAGACACCAGTTACTGAACATATAAAGGGTAAAACAGATTGAAGCCAGCTGTTGCAGCAATCATTGATGATCAGTGACCGCGCCCACAATTTTTTTTGGTCGGGAAGTTTGGTCTGGACTCGCTCCATTGAGGAGTAATTATGATTCAGGCAAAAATAATTATTAAGTATTATTAAATAATTATAAAGTAATCATTTTCAGGCAAAAAATGATCGGCCAATCAAATTGCCAGGGCGGGCTTTATCCGATGATGGACAGATGATCTGCAGAGACATAATCATCACGTTATCAAAGAGTGCTTGTCAAAGATGACTGCAGCTGGAGAATTGAGATGTATAGATTACGCTGTCGCGTCTTTTGTAAAATAAATCAACAGCGCATTCATTTTAATAGACAAACCGAGAACTGCAATCAAGGCATTTGTCGATCGGAAAGATATTTTTGGCGTCCTTCTTACATGATTTGGGAAAAGTGTAACTTATCAGCTGGCTCTGACGATCGCTAAGAAGATGGGACGTAATGAAACTGTGGTCGTTGTGGTTTCTCCTTTGGTCGCACTCATGGAGAAGTAAGTAAAAGAAGCAACACTCGTTATTTAACTTCTAAAATAAATAAAGTTAGGCTACGTTCTGTATTTGAAAACGGCGCTATGCAAAGGAGTTGCGTTGCTCTGATTGATTGTAGGTCTATCGACTATCCAACTGAGTGCAGAGGTTTTTTTTTCCTGGTTCGGTTACGACACGCCTCATAATCAAAGCCCAACGGAGGAGTTTCAGACTCATATTCTCTCTTGAATATGAGTATGACAAAGTCAGGTTAAC